ATATGTGTGTTCCATCCTGGGCGAGGGAAAGATAAAATGTACAGGCAAAGTCTGTGAGAGAAACAAATTCCCCACCTCATGTTTTACAATAACAGCCAGAGGAATCAATGCAGCCCACGTCCGTGCAGGGAAATGACTTCTGCTATAATTATGCAATCTGACCAAAGAAAATTGGTAAAATTTCTCTTGGAAATAGCCTGACAATGATAAAGCACTTCAGGTGGAATTTGCACAGCAGACAGAGGAGTGAAGTGTGTAAATGAACGATTTAACCTTCTAATACAAAATGGAATGACTCAACCTTTTATGAACACCGAGCTGCATACCGTAAGACAGATATTCATACACTGCAGTTATTCTACAACTGTCTCCACAACAAGTCAAGGAAGGTGAAAAGTTTAACAAGTTTGAAGCTGTCAGTCCTGCTGCCCTGCAGTGGGTCAGTCACCCACTGGGAGCTCTTCTCAATATTAAGTAAATGTGTAGCTCACAGATTCATATTGCTTCATTTATGCACTGCTTTACATTGGCTTTGGTTTAAATTTCCACGGGATATTTAAGATTTTCCTTTTGAATTCATCTTAGAAACAAAACACGGAAGAAAAATGTAAATGTTAACTCAACTCGCTGCTGTTTAATATGGAACATTTTCTACTCCTTAGGCTGTTATAAATGCTATTAGTAAAATTCAGAGAGATGCAATTATTAGTGCAGGAATTGCCAAAATTTAACTGAATTATTGCATGAATAGTTTCTAAAGAGGGTACAGTAAAAAAAAACAAAAAACTGACCACACATATTTGCAAGTAAAATAATCATTATAAAAACAGTGTATTTAAAATGACATAGTTTAGCCCATATCTGGCCCAGGAGCTACTTTTTTGTTGACCACAAGCTGAAGACATGAGATAACCATTTGTCCTGAACAGTACAAAACATAAACTACCATGACTGTTCAATTCCCAAGATTCTGGTGGTACCTGAATGCACCAGCTAGAACTTTGACATGACAACGCACCAATCTGTGTAAACCTGGTTTGTGCCTGTTATGTAGTTGCTCCTCGAACTAGCATGTAGCTAGCTAAGGCAAAGTGGACAGGTTTTTAATATATAAAAGTAAAGAAATACATTCTAAAAGTTGATGTTTTTTTTTATTTGTAGAATTGTCTGTGGGTTGGCAAAGGGGGTCACCAACCAGAAGCTAATGCTGGTTGGGGGGGCTTGGTATGGTAATGTTTGGGTACCCCTAGTATACCACATGTACAGTATAAAGTCTATCATCTCATTAAATCTCATTAAAATGAGGCTGTGATAGTCTGTTAGCAAGAGCGCCACTCTTTTACTTTAACCTTTGAAGCAGTATTATCGGTACCTTGCCAGCAGCTGTCAGTACCTTGACAGAATGAAAATGGCAGGTTCCAAGTTTTAAAAGAATAAAAAGGTGACAAATTACTGTACAGTATTTCATATCATAATGAATATAACAGTGTTATGGCTTTTGGCTTGGCCAATTATAATGAATGGAGCTTTCACTTGCTAAAAAATACCTTGGTTGACCTTTAAAATTAGTATTTGAGTATCCCTGCTTTAGAGTATTACTGTATTAGTGAACACCCAAAACTACTGCTTATAGGATTTCTTTTCTCAGACTTTCCATGATTTACAAAAAAGAAATGTGGACATAAGGAAGACAGAGTAAAAAGTGAGAAGTTTGTCTACTTTGGCACGTTAAAACCTTCAGTATAAAGTCTTTGCCCATTGAATCCTCTCTTTAAGCAGCCACAGCAGCTAAGCTGTTCTGATTGACTTGCTTGCGTTCACCTAAAGGGCACGGACCTGATAAAGGACGTGTGTGTGTGATATTTAACAACAGTTTGGAAGCAGAGTAACTGGATGACCTTTTGTTGTGATTTGCCTTGAGATTTCTCACTGCTGATGCAGTGAGGCAGTCGTTTCACTGGAGGATGACTCAGTCCCTCTTTTCCTTCCTTCACAATTTCTTACTGTCGTTGCTGATGGCTTGTTCCAGCTGGGATCCAGGCAACGAGTCGACCTGTATTTAAATCAGTATCGTTAATGAAAAATAAAATAAAAACGTAAAAACGTTGGACATGATACCTCATTCAAATACTCAAAAACCTGCCAATCCAGCACCACAATACTTGATACCAGTTTTTAATTACACCCAGCGCTGTGTGTTCTACTGCAGTTCTGTGTCTCATTGTCCACATGGTACTTTGTTTAAGTAGGTCAATGATATCAGCAGTTTGGAGGAATTTTACATCAGGGACAAAGACAGGAAACAGACTGACTGCGATTTATTCTGTTCTGATTGGAACACTTTAATAGAACTAATGTCTCTTTAACCATACAGTGGACAGGTGAGGAGTTAACACCTCACTAAGTCACTACTCTGTCGAGACTTATTTGACTACACTGTGTGTCTGTTAATTTGCTTGTTTTAACATGGAAATAGTTCGACACAGTTTAAAGCATACTTTTTTTATTCATCAGGCTCTGTTTTCGGCTGGAAGACACTATAGTATTAGTGTCAAAGCTCTGCTCACTTTCTGTTCAGCTGACCGTGTTAACAATGCATTTTTTATTGATATGAAAAATAATTGATTCCACAGTGTAGCAGTTAGCCTGCCTGTCTTGCAAGCAGAGAGCAGAGAATCCAGGGTTAATTTCTCAGAGGAACCACCTCCCCATCCCTAATGGCGCCTCCTGTGGCAGCCTGTGTCAGTTGTGAAGACACATTCTGTAAATTCCCCCAGCGTGGGACGAATAAGGAACTCAATTCATTTAATTGCATTTATTGTACATATGCAGACACACATATACACACAACACAATTTTCTCCATCATTGAAAGTGTCTCAGGAACTTAGTCAAGACAACACGGATGATCAAGGCGGGATTGGAACCTCATCACAAGACTGATCCTCTTGGGCCACGGGCTGCCCCCCCCCCCCCCCCCCTTTTTTTTTTTTACTTCCCTAACACTTCCTAGCAGAGGATGATTTTGATCCATTGACCTCTGGGTTTTGGGCCCAACATGCTTCCGCTGCAGCACTGTGCTGTGTACATATGTGTGACACCATAACGACAGTTTGAAGCCTTTTTTTAATAATACATAATAATATTTATTTTTATAATATTTGTTTTCCTTTGGCTTGAAAAAGAGAAGTTTTGATTTGAAGAAAAAGTATCAGGCCACATATATTTAATTCACAGTAATACACAGCTACTCTCAAGTGCCACTGATGTTCAATATTTCACAAATGTGTATCCTCATCATTTTTTAATCTCTAAATAGTTTATAAATATAATGGTACTTAGTGTTGGTTGCTTTTATTAATGTAGTTGTTTAGGATACATGCACAGTGACACATGGAGATCTGGAATCTAGAATCTTCAATGAAGCCCCATTCAAGCCCCATGGAGCCTGGGGACAGTTTGGCTGTGATAATTCTTCCTACCCCTACTTTATTTCTGCACATCAGTCTTTATGAATGAAACACTGCAGCGTCAACACCGACAGATTCCTCAAGATGAAACAACACCACAGCAGCTAAGGCAAAATCCACTGTCTGTGGTTTGCTCTTAATCCGTGGAGACTCTCAAATTACGCAGGCGCGTCACGAATCCTAAAGTGTCCAAGTGGGTTGGACAGGAGCCCGATCCCCCCCACCTTCCCTCCACTCCTCTCTCTCTCCTCCTCTCATTCTCTTTTCTTGAAGCAGTCCGGCCACATACTCATCACACACTCTTACGGCGCGTGCGCGTGGACGCGCGCTCCCTCTCATCTGCTGCTGTTCAGGGCAAAACCGCTCGCAGCTGCTGTCTGTGCTCCAGTGCTGATGAGCAGAGGGAGCGGACGGATCTGTCTCTGAGTGTGTGAAAGTGTGGGTGTGCGTGTGCAGCAGAGACACCAACCTTTGTTGGACTTGATACCGGACTGGAATACCCCTCACTCCTCTGTGGACACTTGTATTAGAGTTGCGCACAAACTTAGAAATCCGCGGGGTTTTTTTCCCGTCAGCATCACGTGGGCCAAATATAATTACACTGCGGGCCAGATTTGGCCCCTGAGCCTGAGTTTGACACATGTGATTTAGATCATATAAACAACATCGACCTTTTTCATTATTTGCATAAATCAAAATTTCATTTTTACTCTCTCGAAACTAAACACATTTTAAATGCTCTCACAGGCAGCGGGATAAATTCATTGGAAAACACCCAACAGCGAAATGGAAGTTTGAAGAGTCTGATTTCAAAATAAGAGCACGCAATAAAGAATTTAGCGGGTATAGCAAATTACTGTGTAATTTATGAGCCAACAGGGAAATGTTATCTAATGAACAGGCACTTGGTTGGGGTCTGGTTATACAAGTGTGTTTTCCCATATAATTAATATCTTATCAATGAGAACATTTCCTGTGCAAATAAATTAATTTAAGATTTTTATTTAGTCCAGTCTAAGCTCAGCAAAAATTGCATTAAAAAACATATGGAAAAAAGTAAACATGCTACTACAGGTATTTATAGTTACTATTATAATAATAAATTATTTTGAAATAATCCACACTCAAATTGATATTTATCACATAATCAGTTTAACACAGAATCAGATCAGATTTCACATTTTCAACATAAACTGAAATGTGTTTAATTAAATTATCAAAGGTTTGCAACAGGTTTCGATCTAGTGCCATCTGATTTTTTTTTTATTATTATTTTCCCAAAAATGGAAGACCACATTCAGGATTACTACATTTCTTAGACAGAGCAAGGATAGGTTGTGAACTTGATTCAAAGACACCGTCCAGAATTTATCATAGAGAGATTTCTCTGATGGAAAAGTGTGTGGGAAACCTTGTTCGTAATTTTTTAATTGTTTGTCAATGGATTAAATAAAAGTCAAAATAATCATAAAAGTTTCAAAATAGACTTTCAAAAATGGCATTGGTTAAAAGAAAATGACATCCTATCGAGTGACGAGTTAGGAGCTTTATTGTAACAGGTTTTACCGGAAGTCGTTTGCGTCGTTGTGTTCGCCGTCTTTATGGTCAGTTTATTACAAACACGCACAGCTGCTCTCAATCCACACACTCAGCGCCGCAGACTCAGCTGGGGACTGTGCTGTTCTCTGGCGGACTTATTTCTTCGAACTACGGGACGGAAACAGAGCAAAGCAGAGTTTGTCAGTGCTCCAAATCACTTTGATGCAAAAGTAAAAGTCCTCACAAACTGCTCCGGATGATCCGCCGGCAAAGATTCCCAGATGCTGGGTTTCATGTGTTTCACGTGTCTTCGCTCCACAGTCAGGTAGACTTGAGCGTATTTCTCACCCGGAGTGTCTGCGTGTGATTGATCCGTCCGTGGATGCGGGTGTCGGGCTCGGATCCAGAGCCCTGCAGGATCTGCCTGTCATAGGGGCTCCATCATCACCACCACCACCACTACCATCATCTTCATCATCATCATCATCATGCTCTATCCAGGTCTTCATAAGTGGATGAGGAATATTTCTCCAGTGATGCTGCTGCTGCTGCCGCTGCTGCTGCTGATGTTGGTGCAGATTTTGGGGCTTTTACCTACCACTGGAGCGGCTCCTGCCCAGACCACAGAGCAGCTGGACACAGGAGTGGTAAGTTTTTCACACGCTTTTTCACAAGTTAAGACTTCTGTGCGCAATGTGAGTGGAAGTTTGTCCCGTCCTCAGTGAAAAAGATGACGTTATACCTCATGCACATTTTAAGATCAGACTTCCCAGTGCAGCCATGTCAGAATTATGACTTAAAACGTAAAAGTAAAAATAAATAAAAATATATATTTTTTTACCCCAGTTCACAAAATGGCTCAACTGACTCTACAATATATGCCTTAAACCACAACACCCTAAAAACTAACAGCATTTTTTTCATTTAAATTGGAAATATAATAATTTGTGTTGTATGTTTATTATTAAACATATATATATATTAAGAATAAATAGAACACATTTGAGTTTCATAATCATATCATATTTGTGTTATGATAAACCTCAGGAGTCAAATAGTTTTATTAGTAATATATGATAAGGGTAGTACTAGTAGTTCGAGCGTCAGGCTCACAGTTACAGGTGCAGTACCTGTAGAGTCAAAACAGCATAAGAAAGAGGAGGAGAATGTTGTATAAAAATACTGTAATGAGTACATATATACGTATATTGCTGGAGTTAGACCAAGTCTTCGCACAACATGGGAGTTACCCCCAGCAGTCTAGGCATAAAGTATGGACAGCAGGGGCTCAAGTTAATTATAATAATACTAAATATGACCATAATGATGATTAATATAGTTATTATTAATATTACACAAAATTGCTCCCAAGTGAAGATCTAATTTACATTGTATAGGACAGGACTATAGCAATTAGTCCAGTAATTGAAACAGTTGACCAATGAATCAGTTGACAACAAATCAATCAATAATTCAATAATTCCATGCCATTTGAAGTCAATAATCTAACAGAAAAATAAACTAATCTCTTACCTTTCCTGACCCGCATGCAAATGTTTGCTGCTTAAAGTAATAAAGCAGCATTGACAGCGTCCATCTGGCCCAGAAGACAAATGGTTGTAATCCTAATGTGGCCCACATGTTTAATGGCCCCAATATGTTAAATTAGAGAAGAGCTTTTCTCAGACAAATTTTTAAATATATATGGACGGAATCCAACCATTGGAAAAACACATCAGACCCAGGTAGACAAAGTAATATTTAAAATTTAAACTGGTCTGGTGACTTTAAAATAATACCTCAATAAATAAAAATGTCTTTCAAAGCGGTGGGCTTACTTGGTCAGAGGGCAGGAAGTCAGCTGCACCAGTGGGATTCCAATGTGTGTACATCCAACCAGAAGCTCAGTTTTCCTCACTTACTTGGTGAGAGGCAGATGCTGTCCTCTTCGTACTTGACTTGAATTTTAACTGCTCAGTGCGTGATGCCGGAACTCGACTGTTTGTGATGGAAAATAAAACCAGGAGCCCACTTCTCCCTGTGGTGGTTTTGCAGTAAATAAATGTAAATGTATTTGCCCTGGTGGATTATCGACCTGCTGCGCTGCATGCTGACAACGTGTATATATATATATATGCTGAACTGATGGATGGCAAACCAGCTTCAATCACTTATGGTGGGCAGAGACAATCTGAACCATAACACGTTGTGATTGTCTCATTCTCTGGTCCAAGAGAGCGTCTGTAAAGTTTTTAACAAAAACACAGCGAAGCAGGAACAGATAAACTGTGATCAATTAAAATGAATACATGGTGCTTCTTGTGCTGCGTCAGTTTAAGTCAAGTCTATTTTAATAGTACAGACCAAATACAGTCCTTTACGTTGTCAGGAATGGGCTCACAATTTAAACATTAGGAATAGAAGACTTGAAAAAGTCTCGTAATAAATTATCATTTACTGGTGGTAAATAAAGGCCACCACAACAAGCAGCAACTAAAGTTGTCACATCTTCAGTGATGGTGATAAAACAATATTAGTGGACGTTAAATTGTCCTAACACTTTCATTTTCACTAATAAGTTTCGGCTTCGTCCCTTTTTCAGGGGTTTCCACAGCGAATCATTGATTTCCATCTCTCCCTGTTCTCTGTACCTTCTACTCTGACTCCAACTATCTGCATGTCCTCCCTCACTACATCCATATATCTCCTCTTTGGCCTTCCTCTCTTTCTCCTACCTGGTAGCTCCATCTCTAACATTCTTCTCCCAATGTATCCACTGTCCCTCCTCTGCACATGTCCAAACCATCTCAATCTGGCTTCTTTAGCTTTTTCTCGAAACCTTCCTGTCTGTGTTGTCCCTCTAATGACCTCATTCCTGATCCTGTCCATTCTTGTCACTCCTAAAGACAATCTTAGCATCTTTAAGTCTGCCACCTCCAGCTCCGCCTCCTGTCTTCTGCCTATTGCTACTGTCTCTGTACTGTACTGTACTCTGTACTTTACTGTAGGATGAGCTTCGCAATTTGTTCACAATTTGTGAACACAATTTGTTGTTTTAAACAGGCTAAAGGTGTAGCCTGTGTATTTTGTAATGTTGCCATGCTTCAAGGTATGTCTCCAACTCCAGGATGTACCAGATCTAGTTGTTATGTTGGGAGAGTTCACGCCAACTCTTAGTCGTCTTTAGTCAGGTGTTAGGTTACTTTACATACACCATGTGAAGCTGTATTTAAATTCTCTAAAGTCTCTTTAGTAGATTGAGGATTGTTCTGACTTTGCAGATCTTTTTGTAAGGTACATTTTCCACTTTGTTAATGGTGGTTTTCCTTCCTTGAAACTATTTGTCTGCCTCTTATATAATTCTAAACATTATTTTGAGAATCCCTGGTTTACTGACAGCTTTTGTTCTAACCATAAAGCGAACATATGGATTTTGTTAGAGTTGTGGTACACATATGTCTCTGGAGTATCTGTCTACTCCTTATGTGCCACTTTCAACCATTAAGTGGAAGTTTAATAATCTGGAAAATCTGTGAATGTGTCTCAAAACAAGCCTTTCCAATTATACCTACTTATTGACAGTGAAAGTGGGGGAGGGCTTTACTCATACACCACAGTTGGACCGTTTCATGTTCAACCCAACTGCTAAACACAGATGCTCATTTAGCACAGCATTAAATGAACACCAGCTATACTATATTAAACACTTAAGGCGGTAGAAATGTGTCGCCATCTTCAACACCACAGGGAGACATCCATCTAGTTGTTATTCTACATTTTAACATACAAATACTGTTGAAGTAACAAATTAATCGACTGACCACTTACAAAGTATTGGATCTTCATTTTTTCTGGAGCTTCCTCATCTTTTGGGTCTGATGGTTGGCCAACAGTTTGTTGTCTTGTGTCCTGACAGTTTAACATACCTGGCAGGGTGGCATATGCCAGTGTTTCCCAAACTTTTTTTCTGGGGACCCATATTTTAATAGTCACAAACATTCGCTGCCCAAGTCAATAGACATTATTTGTAAACTCCTGGGAAGCATGATGTGAGACGAGCCCCCCCAAAAATTGTTGTGACCCACCTGAGAGTCTTTGGGAAATAATGGCATATGCTACCTCCATACACAAAAAACACTGGGTTGAGCATTAGCCTGGCAACTACTTCTCTTTCATTACCCTTCAAAAGTTAAGAATCCAGCTGAGATCAAACCTTTTTTTTTTCTTTTCATTTTATTTTCACTGAAGCTTGTTACTTCACATTATGTTTTGAATTAGATGTCTGAGACACACATTAGTCTGAACTAAAGTATCATAATATGTCCTTTAAAGTGTGATATTCTGTATCGGTTTAGAAGAACGAACAATTGGGAGTTTTTTTTTCTCTCAGGTTCCTCAGAGTGCATTATCTTTAGAACGTCCCCTACCAAAAGAGCTGACAGCATTGCGCCTGTATTGGAATACTGTAGGCCACTGAACGAATGCAGCTGCTGATGGATTTTCCTTCATTATGTGAAACACTTGAATCAGTCCAGTTCAAGCGTTTGGAGGACTGGGACCTGGAAGAATGAAAGTCTGCACAGAGAGACAATGAGAATTGGTTTTAATGGCAGACACATATTCTCATGTGTGTGCAGTTTTTCCTCTACATTTACTCCTGAGGTACTGCTCTCACACTCACCCCTCAAAGCAGGAATAGATTCATGTTACTCCGCAACTTCATTGCCTCTGCACACACCCCCATCTCTCTCTGTTGTTTTTTTTTCTTTATTGTACAGAAGCTTTAGATTCCACTGTCTTCATCCCACCTCCACCTTCTCCTGCTGCTGTGCTGCCTCTAGACGACTCCTCATCTCCTAGATCTTAGTTGAATTGAATTGTACTTCCTTATATAAGTGGCAAGTGACGCGGTTCTGCTTGTGTACGGGTGTCTAAGTGGCACTGAGTCATCAGCAGGTTTCATCCGGAAGTGGTTCAACAATCTTTAGATGATGAGGTTAAAGGTCACATTACTTGACTTCCCTCATCATTAAAATCTTCATGTCGATTCATTCTTCAGCTCTACGAACGTGTCCATCTCGACTTTGATCAGACAGAGTCCTTAAAGCTGCCTTGATAGTGTATTGTCCCTTATCAAGCAGCAGTCGAGTGTGTGAACAAACACTTGGCATCTTTCCTGTGCATCAGAGAGTGCAGTAATGTGGGCATCACGCAGATTACTGCTGCGCGCTTCATATCAAAGAGTGAAATTCTTCATTATTTAAAATCCACTGTCCTCCATCATATCAGGCCTCACAACTGGGTTTTTGAAAGGTGCACTAAGGGGAGCTGTTCATGTGGGCTATCAGCACTTTGACGGTGCAAACCAAAACAATATGATGTAAAATTCTGAAACTTTCTGTTTTTTTATGTATTATTAAACTAAATCTACTGATTCACATGGTGATACGGTCAGAATGAACCAAGAATGAGTCATTAGAAAACATTCAGGATCGCTGTGATCAATAATAAATAAGTGCCCAGATACTGATTAATATTATATATAATTTTAATGCCTGACAATTTTGGTTCCAGAAACCAGTACAAAAAGAAAATATATTTTCTTGTCAAAGTTTTAGTCAAACTGTTTAACAGTAATAAGTAACTT